TGCTGACTGTGGTAAGCATCTGGTACGCTATTGATGTGGGTCCAGCTGAGAGCTGGGGACCTCTGCTTGGCTGCTACCTTCCAGCTGTCTCTAGCATCTGCTCTAAAAAGGCTAGTTTATGTGCTATAACCAGGTCGTCAGAATTACGTAAACATACTTTTCCTTCATCACTTAGTAATTCAGAGAGTGCACACGATCATAAAGCACAGTGCAGCTTTCTTTAGCTTACATTCCTGATCTATTCCTGAGTTTACCCCAAAAATAGCTTAGCTGTCATCAAATGATCCATTGTAGCTTCACATTTTAAGTGTTTTTTAGTTACGATTTCCTCATTCCTCAAATGCTCCATGAAGAAGAAACAACAACAACAACAAAACCCCACCCTTCCCTTAAAAAAAACACAACCCAGACCCCAAAGATAACAGAAAAAAATTGTCTGTGTTTGTCTAAGTTGTCTATATGAATAGAAGTCTGGGTGGGGAACATTTACATCCATCTCCATAAAATGGCGTAAGTCTTTGCATTTAACAATGGTGGCTACTCAAATGTTGCTTGAACAAATGAAGTCCTTTGTGTTTCAAAATAATATTCATTCATGCCTTTCAGATTATCTCCTGAAACCTGCTAGTTCACAAGAACTGCATACAAATGAAGCAGGAGCTAACTTAAATGAAGGGCAGTATAGGTTAATATTTTCATTAATTCATCACCTCTTGAAAAGACTCCAAAGTTGAAGAAAATCTTCCTGTGTGGTATTGCTCTATTTTCAGAGCTCATCAAGACTGAAAGCCTTCTCTGTGAGAGGGCTTTCAATGCAGAAAGAAGCAAAACAGGTTGGTTTGACAGAACAACTCAGCTGGTTAGCACAGACTGAGAGCAAACAGCAGGAGACCGAATTAGGGAGAGATTTCGTTGGTCTCAACACAATGGTAACCCTCATCCTGTTTTTAGACTATGTTAACCTCCACACCAAGGAATGTGGGCATGAAATATATCTTACGGGTCACTTGCTTTTTACTGGGAGGCAAAACCAACACAATCTGTTAAAACAGGGATCAAGAACATTTTCTATCTAACACATTGTCCTCTCTTCACTCAATTGATTTAATCTCTAATAAAGAGAGCAGTTACAGTAATTGTGATATCTTGATATCACATAAAAGCCTCAAGATCCTTAAGGGGTGGACTTACCATTTTAAGTATGAGAGAGAGAAAGAGAAAGAGAGACAGAGAGAAGAGAGGAGAGGCAGATATTTGTGGAAGGTATGATCCACAACCTATCTATATAATAGAGAAGGACTTCAGAAGAAGGAAACACTTATACGTGGAAAGATACTTCATATAGCACACCTACAGCTGATGAAAAGGTTTCTGGAATCCCCATGGTATCCTTGAACTGTGAAATCAAATTCCTTTCAATATCATGTCATATTGTTCTTTGGTGCTTTCGTGATAGGGATGAAGCTTTATTTTTCTTCTAGGATGGCTAGGCTTCAAAGCTTTTTAAGAACCCAAACCTCAGTAACTCATATACTGGCTCAAAGCCTTCACCAACATATCTGAGTGTTTTAACATTGACCTTAGTCTGGTTGCTTTTGCAATTTATTGGTACTATAAAACTTCTGTGGGGATGGCACTTGGCATGTGGGTATTCTAACATTTGTCTCTGTTGGCATCTGCATTTGCAGAATCTAAGTAATATTGCTGTATACATATAGAAAACAAGCATGCATACACATGTTCACATAAACTGACTCAGTCACAAAGATCAATCACAGTATTTATTTC